AGAGGTAAGTTTGAAGGGGGGAGGTGGAACTTGAAAGGGGAGGTGAAGAGGGGGGAAGTTTGGTTAGGATGGATTGAGGTCGACGAATCTATATAAAAGGTTGGAGTTGGAAGGGGGTTTTATCTTTGGAATATTGTAAGGTGTTTAAGGTATTGATAAAGATGTTGGTAGGATAAGGAAAAGTGAATTGACATTGTTCAGTATTTAATAAGATACATACAGGGTGTCCCAATAAACATGAGAATTGAGAGAACACTTGAATATTGTCTTGGATTTCCGATAATTGGTAAATGACATAAAGTGCAGCAAATATATTTGAACGTCTAATGAGATTTCCGAAATGTGGTCTACCTTCTTTAAATCTTTAAAATTGACAGAGATATTAAAAATTATAACAGTTTTGTTGCTTTTTAATTAACTGGAATCCGGCCTAATTTCCATAATTATATCTCCGTATATTTTGAAGGTGAAAAAATGTTAGACCACATTTTGGAAATCCCGAGAATTACACTAGTTTTCGGTTTTCATGTGATACTGCAAAATTATATTTACGCAATCATCTTGCTTGAAACAATGTCGTTTATTTGGACACCCTGTCTTATACAATACACATGTTAGTCAAATGCTTTTAGCAAGTCCTGACTCAATAGTTTACATGAATTGGTAACTTTCTAACTAGACAGAAGGAGAAGGGAAAATTTATTATTAGCATGGTTGTGACCTCGTCGCTTCTTTAGTTTTTATTTGACGCACAAATAGGCGAAAGTAAATTTATCTGGTCACATTCTTTTCAATTTAGCTCTTTAATAAGATTTTTGATTGAACACATTTTAATCTTACGTGAAATTTACTTTAGTTTGACGTGGGGTAACTTCAAAGCTGGAGAAAAGACAACAAGGTTTTCCGGAAAAGACATCATCCAGAGCCCGCGATTTAAAAGCTTCGGCTCGAGTCGTAATGCCTTAAACCCGACTTTAAGACCCAATCTTCGACCCAACGCTAACGACAGCTTGTGTCACGTGATTGATAGCTGCAAGATCTTCGGCTCGACTTTCCCCGCCCCTCCTGCCCTCCCCCAGACAGTTTCCAAGAAGAATATGTAGACGAGAACTCAACTGAGGCTTGAATCTGATTCAATTTATGAACTCAGGAAATTAAAGTGATATTTTGTAGAGAATGAGAATCAGAATTTAAAACTTGATCTGCAATCATTAGGACTAGGAGTTCCAATCAAAATTCCGTTTCGCGGAATTATGCCCAAATTGCGCGGAATTGTGCCGCTCGCAATCGCGTGCAATTTAACACTCTTGCATTGGAAACCCTAATTAGGACTCGTTTTATGTATACAATTCTGACAATTCTACCTTCAGTAGATTTTTCAAATGTTGAGAAATTTCTTTCTTTCTGCCTTTTGTGATGATGATTTTGATAATTTAAACCAAACATCCCAATGAAGTATTTTAAAATTTATATATTTTTAAAGTGATCCACCGAAATATTCTTCTTCTGCAAGTTGCAACTGTACTGCCGATATTTACACTTTACAGTCAATTTCTGTTAAATTCAATGCTTCAGAATCATTTGTTAAAAGTTTTGAGAAATATGTTTTTTACCTGTCTAGTTAATCTATGTTTACATGATTTTAAGTACTTGAAAAAAACATTAAGAATTTACTGTTGACCAATATTTTAATATCTGAAAATTTTTCCTAAAATATCTTTTTTTTTATTAAGCGTTGATTTAAATCCAAAATCTGTAAAAGTATATGTTTAACAGGTTTGTTGCTATCTATATACTTAACATTAGAAATGTGTATTTGTTAAATTTCATTTTTACGTAGATAATATTATATACCGCGCTATTTTGTGATATTTTTTAACCTATAACATAGTCAGCCAGTGCAATCATTATCGTTTAGTAAAATTCAAGGAACTGCATGTCATTTCAATCTAATGTACCATGTTCGATTTACAAGGTACCCTTATAAACCTTTATCTTACAAACATTGAGGAAATTGTTTTTCTGTTTTGAAAAGCCAGGATTCATATTGATCATATTTCAGCTAGAAAAACAAATACATCTCCCTTATCCTTGATCAAACAATGGATTGCAGAATGGAGAGTCACTTTACATCACGACACAGTCCCTTTATGATCATTTGAGTATGAAAAAATAAAGTATCTGAGAATAGGTAAATATTGTTGAATTATTTGTAAAATTATTCTTTTATATAAAAAGTACTTTTTATTGTATAAAGAACAACCAATATTGCAAACAAATAGTAAAACTGTTCAAGTTTTTATAACGAATAGTAAAAGTTTATGATCCTTGTAAATCTTTTTTAGATTTAGAATTCAATTATATATAATTAGGTAGAAGCGTTAATTGACAATGGCGTAGATTACGATTTAAAGTTTGCAAAAAGCCAAACCCATCGTAGTTATTTCTTCTCCATAATATAAGGAAACTCATATTTGTTTGAATAAAGACAAAAGACGAAAATATCGGACGAAAAGGGGGAAAACGCCTTTAAGGGAGTGACCGGCTATGTCTGGTATATATACATCGTAGAAACGTTTTATATGGNACGACATCAGAAAATTAGTTTAAAACTTATGTATAAATTGAATTGTAGTCATATCTAATCTTTAATCTAATAATTAATCTAATATCTGAACGAATTCAAGAGTTCGACAAAAAGATCAATATTATACCTCATTCTTCTTTTTATGATCAATACTGTTGAAGATATAGTCGGTTTTTTTAGTTTAATTCTAACAATCACCTACATTGTTACTCTAGCAAAATATCTACAAGTTAATTATAGTTTTATGGATAAACCGTAATTAAAACTAATCAAAAGTCAAAAGAAGAACGAAGCCGTAAATAAGGTCCAACGACAGCTTAGACCCGAGCCGTATTTCCCCGAATTTTTTAAATCGCAAGCTCGGAAGAGACAATTTTTGGAAAGAATAGTGACAGACAAATTACAGAAAACTTCAGATGTTATTCTTGTTATCCAGCGTTTAAGTTTAGGGGCGGGCATAGACAGGAATTCCTCCAAAGGATGCAAGCTCTCGCTCAAAAATTAAAGAGAGTTTTACAATTACTAAATTTTAAAAACTAAAGATAGAAACAATAGAAGGAAAATAGAAGGTAAAATCAATTGCAAAGACACCACTTTAAATCGACCAATTCAACTTTTCAACGCAGTCTGAATCTCTGTGCGTTACAGGATAAAAGAAGGACTAGGGACTGAGATAGTGACTAAATCTATCACTAATAGATATAGTCACTATCAACTGATAATTTTAGTTGATTATATTTTCAAAATTGATCTATCCGGACCTTTTTTTGTAATTCGTCTTGTCTCCTGTCTGATGTTTAAAAACATTTTATTTTTGATTGGTTTATGAGATTGTCAAAAAAACATCATCAACATCTGGTTTGATATATTTATAAATAGCCAGGCCAGTCAGGTTTCAATAAAAACACGGGAGAAACATTTCATGCCTCCAGACTTAATGGTTATTTTTGCTTGAAAATAGAGGAAACAAGATTGATATATCGTATGTTATATAATTTATTGGTGTATCATATATACAAAAACTGTTCAAAACATATCGGAGTTGCAAAAAATGTTTTGCCGCTATAATTTATTTAACTTACATAACATTCTTAGAATTAAACCTTAAAATTCATAGTTCCTAGCTAACTTTAAATTTATAGTTCCTAGCTAACTTTAAATTCATAGTTCCTTCCTAACTTCTTGCCAGACTACATTTGTTGAATAAAACGTGCTGGGTCGACTCTACACTGGGTATTCCAGACTGGATCAAGGAGATATTGAATAGAAGGAGGGGGCGATAGCCTTTCCGTACACTTTGCTGTGACGTTATAGGACTGCTGAAGAACTAGTTTTTGCGTAACAACAATAA